GCCTTGAAAGGTGCTGTTAGTGTGCAGCAATATTCCAGCCTAGATAGAACAAGCGACCTGAAGAGTGTCATCATGGGCTTGGCATCCCCAGTTTTGAAGGTTCTCATGATCCATCCTTTCATTTTTCTAGCAGCTGCGATTGATATAATGTTATGGTCCTTGAAGGTGAGATCCTCCGACATGATCATTCCCAGGTCTTTGACGTTGGTTTTTTGCTCTATTTTGTGGCCAGAATTTGTTTTGTACTCTGATGAAGTTTTGATTTCTTCGTGTTTACCATATCGGAGTAATTGAAATTTCTCATTGTTGAACTTCATATTGTTTTCTGCAGCCCATTGAAAGATTTGGTTGATGTCTGCCTGGAGCTTTGCAGTGTCTGCAATGGAAGACACTGTCATGCAGATTCGGGTGTCATATGCAAAGGAAGACATGGTGCTGTGGCTGACAGCCTTGTCTACTCAAAAATTCTAGCGGCTTCAAATCAAGCAGGAGAAAGCTGGTAGGCCCACATGTGAGGGAATGGGTCTGTGTGGTCAGTGTGCACCATATAAAAAAAATCCTACAGCACACAGTGCATAATGAGAGAAAAAAAACTCCAACTTTGTGGCCTATTTTCGTATAGTATTTATGGTTGTATTCTCGTTTTCTTGGTCTCGTTTGATAATGGAAAACATATAGAAATAGAGTTGATTTTGCTTGGTTTTACTATGAAAAGAACCTTGAAATGGAGCTCAAAGTAGGGGAAATGTTTGATTTTTGCCGATGTTCAAAAGTAAACAAATGATGTCGTTGTCCAATAAATGTCCAACTAGCCATTCTAATATGCAGTCATGAATGGGTTGACATTATTTATACAATTATTACAATATTGCAGTTGTCTGCATAACAGTAAATCTTCTATTATTTGTTTGAATAAAAATTCAAAATAGAAAGCAAGAGTAATATCAGAGGGGCCTGGAGACATGACTGATGAACAAAGAAAATGTTATTTTAGAGTCAGGAATGTCTGCATTGTTCATTCTGGACCCTACTTTGAAACTGACATATTTTTTAATTTTTGTGAAACTGGCCAAATTGCACATTTCTGACCATGTTATTGGGTAGTTGAAATTGGTAAATGGGCAGTTTCTTGTACTCAGTCGATAGAAAAAAACGTTGTTCTAAAGAAATAGCTATGAGTTTGGTTGACTGGAACAGTGGAAATACCCGAAAATCGGGCTTAAAGTGGGCGAAATAGCCGATTTGTAAATACTATCGCTAAGGTCACTAAATTTGCTAGAGCATAATTCCGTAAGTTTTCCATCAAATTTTGTTCTTTTGATGTCATTACCATTGGGAAAAGATTCTCTATCATTTCATTAGATTTTCTTTTTTTTTTTTTCAAAAAATTTTTGACACCAAATGACACCTCAGGATTTGGCGTTTCAACAGTCAAGGGGTTAACATAAAGAAGGCTGATTGTGCCCTTGTCATAGGGCTGCCCCACCACCCAGGGATGTACTACTGTCCTGTGGTAGTAGATTGGTAGACAGCAACCACCCAGGGAAGTACTACTATCCTGTGGCAGTAGGTTGGTAGACAGCAACCTCCCAGGGAAGTACTACTATCTTGTGGTAGTAGGTTTCTATGTATGTCGGGATGCCACGCGTTAGTGACATTTGTTGTATGGGGATCGCCAAGGGATGTAGGTGAAAGAATACACACGTAGGATGTTTTAGGAGGCGTATTATGTGAGAATCTTGAGGATAACCCAGAGCCTGACCTTGTAGTCTGCTATCGCCTTCAACTGTACTCTCTGACCGACTAACCACTGCCCTGAGCAAGGTGGTTTGAAAGGAGAGGGGACTTGACATCATAGCCAGGGAGGCAATGACTCACAGTAACAGTTTTAACTGAATATATGTACTACAGTACACAATATTACTAACAGGTAGACAGCAACCACCCAGGGAGGTACTACCATCCTGTGGCAGTATGTTGATAGACAGCAACCACCCAGGGAGGTACAGTGGTCCCTCAATAATCGACCGGCCTGAAAGTCGACCATTTCGGAAATCAACCGTTTTTTTCGACAGAATATTGACTCGGAAATTGACCGAAATTCATTTATCGACCCATCTCGACCCGTCGTCCCAGACGCGTATGCACGAGGTAAGCGGGCCTCGACCCGCCTCAGCCTTCCTTCCCAGCCAGTGTGCCATTGTTTACCAGTTAGCGGCGGTCCTCTCACGTGCTCCAGTGAAATATTTCATAATATTTCATTTATTTTAGTGCTTGCAAGTTATATAAGTGCTAAATAAGCTACCATGGCTCCAAAGAAAGCTCCTAGTGCCAAACCTTTGGTAAAGAAGGTGAGAAATACCATTGAATTTAAGAAAAACATCATTGAACAATATGATAGTGGCGTACGTGTGGGCGAACTGGCGAGGATGTATAACAAAAAATCATTCAACCATATCTTCCATCATAGCCATGAGAAAGGAAATCAAGGACGCTGTTGTTGCAAAGGGGGTAAATATGCTGACAAAAATGAGATCACCAGTACTGGAAGAGGTTGAGAAGTTATTATGGTGTGGATAAATGAGAAACAATTAGCAGGAGACAGTCTTATGACCTCGATTATTTGTGAAAAGGCTAGGCAGTTGCATGAAGATTTGGTAAATAAATTGCCTGCAAATAGTGGTGAAGTGAGTGATTTTAAGGCCAGCAAAAGCTGGTTTGAGAGATTTAAGAAGCGTACTGGCATACACAGTGTGGTAAGGCATGGTGAGGCTGCCAGTTCGGACCACAAGGCGGCTGAAAAATATGTGCATGAATTCCAGGAGTACATAGAGGCTGAAGGACTGAAACCTGAACAAGTGTTCAATTGTGACGAAACAGGCCTCTTCTGGAAGAAAATGCCAAAGAGGACCTTCATTACACAAGAGGAAAAGTCAATGCCAGGACACAAGCCTATGAAAGACAGGCTGACGCTAATGTTCTGTGCTAATGCTAGTGGGGGATTTCAAAGTGAAGCCGTTACTAGTGTACCATTCTGAAAATCCCAGAGCATTTAAGAAAAATAATGTTATGAAGAGTAAATTGTGTGTGTTTTGGAAATCTAATAATAAGGCATGGATCACGAGGGAAATTTTTGTAGAGTGGTTCAACGAAGTGTTTGGCCCTAGTGTGAAGAATTACCTACTGGAGAAGAAATTGGATCTCAAGTGCCTGCTAGTAATGGACAATGCACCTGCTCATCCACCAAACTTGGATGACCTAATTCTGAAGGAGTTTGGGTTCATCTCAGTAAAGTTCTTGCCCCCGAATACCACTCCTCTCCTCCAACCCATGGACCAGCAGGTCATTGCAAACTTTAAAAAACTGTACACCAAAGCAATGTTTGAAAGGTGCTTCAATGTGACCTCACTCACTTGACCCTACGAGATTTTTGGAAAGAACATTTCAGTATTTTCCATTGTGTAAGCCTTATAGGTAAGGCTTGGGAGGGAGTGTCTACCAGGACTTTGAACTCTGCTTGGAGAAAATTGTGGCCAGATTGTGTCGACAAGAGGGATTTGGAAGGGTTTGGGGCTGACCCTGATGAGCCTATGTCAGTTTTGAACTCTATTGTGGCACTGGGGAGTTCCATGGGGTTGGATGTGAGTTTGGAGGATGTGGAAGAGTTGGTGGAGGACCACAACGAAGAGCTAACCACTGAGGAGCTGCAAGAGCTTCAGCAGGAAGAGCAACAGATCGCAGCTCAGAATCTTGCTGCAGAGGAGGAGGAAGAGAGATGGAAGAAGGTGCCTTCTTCAGAAATTAAGGAGATTTTTACTATGTGGGGTAAGATGGAAAGATTTATGGAGAAACATCACCCAGAGAAGGATGTTGCAAGCCATATCGGCAACTTGTACAGTGACAGAGTCTTGGCCCATTTTAGGGAAGTTTTAAAGAGACGCCAGAAACAGAGCTCTCTGCACAGTTATTTTGCGAGACAGGACTCCAGTGACTCTCAAGCTGGTCCTAGTGGCATTAAGAAACAGAGAAAAGAAGCAACCCCAGAAAAGCAAATGGTACCTGAGGTGTTGCTGGAAGGGGATTCCCCTTCCAAACTTATAAACAATCCACTCTCTCCTCCTCCTCCAGTCTCCCATACACTAAGAAGAATCTCCAATAAAGGTAAGTGTTATGCTGTTAATGTTTCATTCATCATTTCCCATTGTATTGTTTATGTACTACATGAATATTTCATGTAAAAAATTTTTTTGTTTTAATACTTCTGGGTGTCAGGAACGGATTAATTGAATTTACATTATTTCTTATGGGGAAAATTGATTCGTAAATCGACCATTTCGATAATCGACCGGCTTCCAGGAACGGATTACCGTCGATAATCGAGGGACCACTGTACTACCATCCTGTGGTAGTATGTTGATAGACAGCAACCACCCAGGGAGGTACTACCGTCCTGCCAAATGAGTGTGAAACAGAAACTTGTAATTGTTTTGCATGATGATAGGATTGCTGGTGTCTTCTGTCTCATGAACATGCAGGATACCAGGTACATTTTGCTACTTCTACTTACACTTAGGTCACACTACAAATGCATGTACATGCTTATATATACATACCCATCTAGGTTTTCTTCTATTTTCTTCATAGTTCCTGTTCATGTTTATTTCCTCCTATCTCCATTGGGAAGTGGGACAGAACTTTTCCTCCATAAGCGACTAAAATGCCAGGAGCAAAAGACTAGTGACCCCTTCTCCTGTATAAATTGCTAAACTGAAAAAGAAAAACTTTCATTTTTGTTTTTAGGTCACCCTGCCTTGGTGGGGTACGGCCAGTTTGTTGAAAAAAAAAAAATTATGTGGGGCTAGAACTGTAAATGGGTTGGGCAGATATTTTTGTTAGTGGGTTTTGATTTCAGAAGGACCTGCCTGGTATGGACCAGTAGGCCTGCTACAGTGTTCCTCCTTTTTTATGTTCTTATATAACTCTCATATTCTTCTGCTGTTGAAATATTTGTTGTAGGTTTCAGAAAGGGGACATCTTCTTCGTTCACAATGAGCTGAGTGATGGCTGGTTGTGGGTGACTGCACATCGTACTGGAGAACAAGGGACCATATTCTCTGACCTGGTGGAGACCTTAGACGATGATATTGATCCCAACATTGTCTTCTCCTGGTTCCACCCTGACATTACCAAGAGTGATGCTATAGACCTTTTAATTAAAGGTAAGTTTGAAGCTCACACTAGTACGAAATACAAATCTCTATTTGAATTTTTTTTTTTGTGGTAACAGGAGTGATATATATGTATGATTGACTTACCTATATTACACTTGCTTTCCATATTGAATTTTTATCCACACAAAAAATAGATTCAATCTGTTTCTTGAATAATAAAATATAACCAGGAAAGATTGGTCATAGTTTACAGCATCCCAGTAATTGAGACTTATTAAAAAGCCATAAAACAGACTTAGACAACTTGAGTCCTGGAAATGGGAAGTACAATGCCTGCACTCTAAAGGAGGGGTTCGGGATATTAGCAGTTTGGAGGGATATGTTTGTGTATCTTTATAGGTATGTATATGCTTCTAAACTGTTGTGTTCTGAGCACTTCTGCAAAAACAGTGATTATGTGTGAGTGAGGTGAAAGTGTTGAATGATGATAAAAGTATTTTCTTTTTGGGAATTTTCTTTCTTTTTTGGGTCACTCTGCCTCAGTGGGAGACGGCCGACTTGTTAAAAAAAAAAAAAAAAAAAAACAGCCTTAGGGTTGTAGGGGTCTCCTAACCTGTCCTCTGGGATATCAGCAAAAATCTAATGTTTTCACTACTTTGAGCTTAGTTTCAAGCTATGTACTTCAGTTCTTGAAACAAATCAAAATCATCTCTATTTAAGTAATATGTCTTCCATTTTATTGAATAATACCAAGAAACAACCAACAAAACCATTAAAAGCATCCAAGAAAATACCAAAAAGTTGCTAATATCTGTGAGAGTTCAGTGAGGATGTAGTTGTGTTGGTTCCTTGAAGAGAGTATTGATGATGTGCTTGCACCAAAAACTTGTCTAGGGAAGCCTGGAAAAACCTGCCCACCTAAGTTAACTGTCATAATATACTTAGATTTGCTGTGTGATCATCTGCCTGAAAATTTGTATGCAGTGTAGTGCAGTGATATTTATGCAAGACACTGCTTCTTTCCACAATGCAAAAATCTGTCCTTCATTGGTGTCATGATTTTGAGGCACCATTCTTCAATGATTGGCCAAGAAATTCCCCAGACATGAAAACCTCTGGACTGTGATAATGAGACATCTACTAGAGGGAGGATATCAGCCAAATTTCATGGCTGGAGGTCACCATTTGTGAGTCTTGGGGGAATGATGATCACTGTAGGATTGATATGAAGTTTGCTAATTTAGCAAACAAGTTTCTTATTCATTAATAAGGTCTTCTGAAGACATTATTTTTGTTTTTTTGTTTATAATGTCTCCTAGGTGAGGCATTTAGGACTTATTTTGTATTCTTCATGTATCCCTTTAACACCCTCTCCCATTTTTGTTACATGACACTTAATCTACACTAAAATCCATGAGCCGTCCATGAGATGTGGGTAGTATGTGTGGTTGACAGTTAGTAGATGGAAGGTTAAGTTACTACTACATAGTGTTGAATGACATTCACTAGTTGATAGCTTTACGTAATAGACCTTTACACACATACAGTACTTGAATGTGTATAACGCAGCAGCTGAGTTATCAACATGCTTTATATTAAGTATTTATACAGTAATAATAAGATCAAAATAGCAGTTTTGTAACTTAAGTTCATATTTGAGCAGCTGGCCAAGGTAGTTTCCTGGTTCGTCCAAGCGACAACTCACCTGGCGACTACACGCTCTTCTTCCTTACTAACAACATCATTCAGAGGTTCAGAATAGAGAAGAGAGGAGTAAAGTAAGTATCAGCCACTACTTCATAATATTCTTCTCTTTAAAATATTTTGCTTTGAACAATATTTTCACATTACTCTGACTATACAGTATTTCCAAGAAAACGTAAACATTATTTTCAGTTCCCAGTTTGCAAATACTTATTAAATATTAATACCTGACGATCTGTTGGAGTGTGAGCAAGGTAATATTTAGTGAAGGGATTCTGGGAAACTGGTTATTTTATATAACCAGACTTGAGTCCTGGAAATGAGAAGTACAATGTCTGCACTCTAAAGGAGGGGTTTGGGATATTGGCAGTTTGGAGAGATATGTTGTCTGTTTTTATACATATATACTTCTAAACTGTTGTATTCTGGTCACCTCTGCAAAAACAGTGATTATGTGTGAGTGAGGTGAAAGTGTTGAATGATGAAAGTTTTTTTTTTTTTGGGGGGGGGGGATTTTCTTTCTCTTTGGGTCACCCTGCCTCGGTGGGAGATGGCCGACTTGTTGAAAAAAAAAAAATACAAGAAAATTGTTTTCAAAAAAGATGCATCTCATTAAAGGACCCCAATGGAAATAAGTCACTCTGTCTGACACTTTTGGGTTATCCTAGGTTCTCTACACATATGCTGCTATGTATTTAGATTTAGATTTAGATTTTTTATTTTGACAGATTACATGGTTGTACAGAGGAATATAATAGTTGGGTGTACATGCCAAAAGCCCCTCTGTATGCTGAGCATTTTAGACAAACTTAAAGATTAACTTAAGAATAGTAAGGTAATAATACATAGTTCATATGGTCATTAGTTAGAGTGAGTACAGGAGAATTGAATATTATATCAGGTGATGCTACATGGTTTTGGCAAGTCTAGTAGAGACTTTTTACACTGTTGAATTAGTTAATAAAAATTACAGTATTACAATGTAACAATTTAAAACAATTTACAATGTGATGTATTACAGTTTAGTACTATAGTGGACCCTCAGTTAATGCCTTTAATCTGTTCCAGAGAGCTAGCCTTTAACAGATTTAGCCTTTAACTGAATTAATTTTCCTCATAAGAAATAATGGAAATCCAATTAATCCGTTCCAGACACCCAAAAGTGTTAACCAAAATAATTTTTTTTAAATGAAATATACATTTCCCTACACAGAAAACAATGATACATGAAGAATAAAACAATAATAACATCACACTTACCTATATTGTGGACTTGTTGATGAGTGATGAGGTGGGAGGAGGGAAGAGGATGAAGGTGTTCTATTGTTTGGAAGGGGAATCCCCTTCCATAAAGACTTCAGGTAATAAGTTCTTTTCTGGCTTGTGTCCTGGGAGTGCCTTTTCCTCCTGAGTAATGTAGGTCCTGTTTGGCATTTTTTTCCTAAACAGACCTGTTTTGTCACAATTGAACACTTGTTGGGGTTTTAATTTTTCAGCCTCTGTGTACCCCTTAAAGTCCTGCACATACTTTTCAGCCGCTTTTTTGTCAGAACTGGCAGCCTCACCATGCCTTATCATACCACACCACCATCACAACCACTACCACCCTCTACCACCACCACTACCACCCTCTACCACCACCACTACCACCCTCTACCACCACCACCACTACCACCCTCTACCACCATCACTACCACCCTCTACCACTATCACTACCACCCTCTACCACCACCCTCTGCAACCCTCTACCACCATCACTATCATCCTCTACCACCATCACAACCACTACCACCCTCTACCACCACTACCACCCTCTACCACCACCACTACAACCCTCCACCACCATCACTACCACCCCCTCCCACCATCACAACCACTACCACCCTCTACCACCACCACCACTACCACCCTCTACCACCACCACTTTTGTATTTTTCTACAAACTTTTTCTTAAATTATATGTGTTTCTCACATTCTTTACCATAGGGCTGGCACTAGAAGCTTTCTTGGGGCCCATGGTGGCTTATTTAACAGTTACAGGCACCAAAAACAATGGAATAATACAAAATACACCTACCATCTGACTTACAACTTGCTCGACATACGACCACTCGACTTACGACCATGTTTTTTATACTAAATTTCTGGGAAATAATCAACTGTTTGTGTTGTACACAGTGTTTATCCTAAACCTTACAATATAAAATACAGTACTAACAGCATAAAAAGTAAAGTAAAACATGAAATACCAAAATAAAACAATAAAATAAAGCCATTACAAAAATGTGATGTTGATATTCAGTAGTAAAGTTCAACTTACATCCATTTCGACTTACGACCGGTTTCTCGGAACCGAACTCGGTCATAAGTCGGATGGTAGGTGTATATCACATGTACGCGTGGAATCGTCCTCACTGTCTTTGTAAACAGTGACACTAGCTGGTACACAGTGAGTGGCCGAGCTCGCTCAGGGTGCCGTGCCGACACGTTCGAGACGAAAGCTCCTAACTGAGTTTTTAGGTGTTATCCGAGCCAATTTTTTATGCGAAAGCGAGGCTTTATCTGATTTTGGCGTTAGTCGATGCCGCCGCTAACCGAGGGTCCACTGTATTTAAAACAATGAAATTTGGTATTACAGTGGAACAATTTACATTATGATGTAGTGTATTACAATCTGCTACTATTGAAAACAGTGAAGAGGACAGACATCCTAATTTTAAAGTAGTAAGTGATTGAGCATTCATCACCACAATATGAGCAGCTTTTGAGAAACTGGTAGTGGTTAGGTACGGTTTGTCTGGTTAATTTTGGGTGTTGAGGTGATTTCTTATTTGGGCCTTAAACTGATTTGCAGACAGGGGTCCTTTAGTTTGTTCTAGCAATGAAGAGCTGATTGGGGTTCATAGTACTGTATCTATGAAAGGATGCCTACTGTTTTGGAGACTTTCTTGGAAATTTGCTGTACGTGTGTCTGAAATTTGAGACTGCAGTCAAGGTGGAGACCTAGAAATTTGCCCTTTGCCTATCTCGAGATAGGTGAACCAGTTATCAATATGTTTAGCTGTACATTTGAAGCTCTGTTTCTGAAAAGCATGAAGTAGGTTTTGTCTATATTGAGAGTAATCATCCAAGTAGATATTTTTAGCAGTTCAGTATTTACTGTGTCTGTTAGTATGGTTGAGTTTGGATGAGAAAAGACATAAGTTGTGTCATCTGCAAATAAAATGGGTTTAAGGAGATTAGGTGCATTTGGTAGGTCATTGATGTAATTGATGTAAACGAGAAAGAGAAGTGGGCCAAGAATGCTCCCCTGTGGGACTCCAACAAGAACAGGTTGTGTAGTGGAGCTGGCTCCATTTGTGTATACATACTAGAATCTGTTGTTAAGATAAGATTTTAGGTAATCGAGAGAATGTCCTCTGACCCTGTAATGTTTGAGTTTTTGGTGCTGAAGGTCATGGTCAGCTGTATGAAAAGCTTTTTGTAAGTCTATGAAAAGTCCCAGGGAAAATTCATTTTTCTCAAATGCAGAGTATGTTAGTTCAAGCATATGTATAATAGCATCATTAGTACTTTTTTTTTGTGTGTGAACCCAAACTGACAAGGGTTGAGTATGTTGTGGGATACAAAGTAGGAGCAGACTTGTTTGTGTATTAATTTTTTGAAGACTTTGGATAGTAGGGGCAAGTTTGATATAGGCCTATAATTGTTCAGTTCAGTTGGATCACCTCCTTTGAGGATCGGGATGACTCTTGCTGTCTTGAGTATGGTTGGGAAGGTGGAGGATTCAATGGATTTGTTAAAAAGAGTTGCAATAATTGGTGACAACACACGAGAAGCTTTTTATACGTGAGTGGTGGTAAGTTATTTAGGTCTCCTGTCTTGTTCTTTAGTGTTTTGGTGATAAGCGAGATTTCAGTAGGGTTTGTTGGGGCTAAAAACAGAGTATTTGGGTAGTTGCCAGTGAGGTTGTCTTTTAGTTGAATGTTTGAGCTTGGGATTTTACTTGCTAGTTTTGTTCCTATGGTAGAGAAAAAGACATTAAGTTTGTTGGCAGTATCAGTTGGCTGTAGGAGAGGTTCATCTGGTTTAGCTAACCTTTAAACTGTCCAAACATAGTTCTTTGTTTGCTCGCATAGCTCTCTGAACATAGATCTACGTTTATTTTTTACATTGTGTCTTATGGAGAAAGTCAAGGTCAGAGCACTATGCGCGCAAATGTAGATCTACATTTGGACAGTTTAAGGGTTAAGTTAATCAACCTGTTTTGTGACAGCTTATTTGTTCCTAGAATTTCAGATAAGGTTTTCCAAGTCTTTTTCATATCACCTTTTATGTCATGAAATCTGTTTTCATTATACAGTTTTTTTTGACCTCCTTATTAGATTGGTTAGTATTGATGAGTAACATTTCGTTAGATTCTTTGTTATCTTTGTTATTAGACCCATTCTGTACTGTTTTTCATATAGATGTTTGTTATCAATAGATTTGAGGATGCTGTTTGTAAGCCATTGGCTGTTTTGTCTCTTTGCTGTGATCTGCTTAGTGTTTATTGGGCAATGCATATTATAGAGGATTTAGATTTTTTGTAAAAAAGTATTAACACATTCATCAATATCGAAGTTGTCTGCTAGCTCACTTTGCCAGTCAATGTCACTAAATGCTGAAATAAAGTTATTAACAGATAACTCGTCATGTAGTTGGAATGTTATCTTAGTTGTGTCCTGGGCCACTGTACACAAGTTGGTTATGAGAAAGATGAGACAGTGGTCAGTGGTGTTATCTGTGATTATGCCTGCTTTTAATGGGGATATAGTGTTTGTCCAGATATGTTCTAGTAATGAGGCATTTGTGTCAGTGATTCTTGTAGGTTTTGTTATTGTTGGTAGAAGTAAGCAGCTGTTCATTGTGTTTGTGAATTAAGTCACTTGTGGGTCATGGTTATGGATGAGATTTATGTTGAAGTCTTCTGTAAGTATTAGGTGGTGGTTATTCATTTTAGCGCTAGTTATTATGTTTTAGAATTTTTCACTAAAAGAGTAAATATTGGAGTGAGGAACTCTATAAATTGCTC